TTGAATATTCATGCATGCATTAAAAAGCCTTCTGTTGCTAAGGTGGAACCTAATACCATAAATGTGTCCCAGCCTCTCTGTAGGGAGAAGAATAGTGTGCTAAAATTAAGTCAAAGCTGTTGCTTATCAATAAGAACAACCAGGAAGAGAAAGAAGAAAGATTGCCCTGGAAATATTATATTTCCCAATGAAATATTAATGTTTCATGGGCCTGCGGCCTGGAGAGACCAACAGTCAAGCAGAATGAGTGTCTTTAGATCGCAAGCATCCACTGCATGTACAAGTGCCCTTGTTTGCTTGGGTAACGAGACAACAGGATTCCAGAATGACAGGAGCAGAGGGAAATGAAGCAAGATTGCCCACCGAGGAGGCCAGCATAAAGAACAGCAAGTGTTGCCCTAAGTAGGTAAACACAGTGGAAAAGAACTGTGCTTTCATGGCAGGCCTGGTTAGAAGGGAAGCACGTACTGACCCTTTAGAGTAGAATCACAGAAATTAAGAACAGCTATAGATGGACGTTTCTCCATCTTGGCACTCTCGACACTTTTGAGTTGGATAATTCTTTTTTGTTGGGGCTGCAAATTCTCAGGCCCTACTCCAGACCTACGGAACTATAAAGTGAGAATTGGGCCATCCCCTCACTGGATTCTGAGGTTGGCTAAAGTTTGAGAAATAGTAACCTACTTAGCTCCCCCATTTTACAATTCAAGAACCACAAGATTGGTTAAGTAGTGCCTACCCAAGACCCAACTGCTGGTTACCAGACAAAGCGGTTCACCATATCTCCTTCTCCAGAAAGTTTACTACGAGTGGCCTTGCAGGATGAGGTGGACATTCTGCAGGGATAGTTCATCGCAGCACTGACCATGGGAATGACACATGAAACATCCTGTTGCACAGCCGGGAACAGTCCAAGGCTGGCTGAATATGCTCCTCAAATGTGGTCTCCTAGATTCCCACATTCCCTAAGCTTTCATGCAGAACACGTCACTTTTATTGACATCATTTTTCTAAATACATGTTAATAACATGGTTAGTTTAGAATGAGGCTGCTTTATTGTGTTGTGTCTTCTTGACTGTTATCGCTAGATCCCTATTTTATTAGGCAATCACTTGGAGTTAGAAGGGGCCTTATTTGTTTTTTTTTTGTTGTTTTGTTTTGTTTTAATATATTTTTTATTGATTTATTACAGAGAGGAAGGGAGAGAGATAGAGAGTCAGAAACATTGATGAGAGAGAAACATCGACCAGCTGCCTCCTGCACATATCCTACTGGGGATATGCCTGCAACCCAGGTACATGCCCTTGACCGGAATCGAACCTGGGACCTTTCAGTCCGCAGGCCAACGCTCTATCCACTGAGCCAAACCGGTTTCGGCAGAAGGGGCCTTATTTGTATAAGCATGCTGTTATTGATGTGGGTAGATATATGTTGATTTAAGATTTTAAACCTTCCTGTGAGGTTGACTGGAGTAGCAGTTTGCATATGTTAGAAAATAAAAAAATGTTCAAACCTACGTATTGGAGAGATCTTTTCTTAATTGCTTATTTAAAAAAAAATACGTTCCTGTGCAAAAATAATTTTTATTCTAGTAAATGAATACAAAAATATCAAATGAAAAGTAAACCATGCTTATTTGCCCAGTGTTTTTGCTCTTTTTAATAAAAGATAGGTGCAACGCCCCTCCACCCCCCACATTTCTCTGCCCATAACATCTGGGTTAATTTTGTGGGAATGAAGACCTCTAAGTCCAAAGGAGCGTTGTGAGGCCAAGTTGCTTTGCATGGGGAAGTGAATGAGCAGGGTAAGGCTGGTGAGGCACATCTGTAGGAGGACGAGGATGGCTGTATGTGGGACCAGATTGCCTAAGGGGCCCACGAGGGGGAAAGCCACAGTCAAAACAGGTCTGCCTGCTGCTGCTGTGACCCACAGAGGACGTTCCAGGCCAGATTTATGCCAAGAAACTCTTTAGAGATTATATATTTTATTTCCCCTCTTAGTGTAATTTGTGCAATTTCTGGGAATAACCCTGCAGATATGAGTACATATTTGTTCTCAGATACTCAAGCATGTTAAAATAAAATGATACAGTTGTAATTGATTTATGGCTATTGTTATTTAAATGACCATCCTTTGAAATTTCACTGCACTGAGAGGTAATAGTCAACATTTTGTTGACTGTCATTTTACAGCTCTCCCTATGCAGGCACACACACGTAGACAGTTTTACATGAACAAAGTCATACGCCTGATGATTCATAATGAACACCTATCACCTCTAGTCTTTTTTCCTACTTGCATTTTCTTTCTAATCACCCTCATCCCTAAGATAGGCAGCCTTGAAAGTTTAATGTATTTCCCTCCAAATAGTTTTTCATTGTAGGAATATATGTGTGTGTGTGTGTGTATACACATATATATAATTAGTAAAGTAATGTATAAAGTAAAATAATAATTATGTGTAATTATTATTATATCCAACACATAGAACATGACCAAGTATTTGGAACAGCACCTGAAACATAGATGCTCAATAAATACTTGTTGAATGAATTACTGATTTGCTTTATAAAATGGGATAATTATATATGTATATATAACTATTATATAATTTTCAATGTAATTATAGTTATGTATATAATTATCCCATCTTTCTGTATCTGGCTTCCATCACTCAATGCCTCTAGGTAATCTCTCCATATATATTTAATTCTTATGAATGGTTGCATAATATCTCACAATCATGAAGGTCACATCAATTTACTTAACTATATCTCTAATTGATAGTCAAGATGCTTTTATTTTTTGCCACTATAAATAATAGCTAATATCTACCGAGTGTGTTCCATATGTAAATCACTTTTTTAAAGCAATTTACATGTATAAAGTCACTGAGTTAAAGTTATTCTGTCCTTGTAGGAAACTGAATAGGGGTGGGTGAAAATTTGCCCAAGCCTACATAGCTAGTAGGCTCTAGACCAGGGGTGGGCAAACTTTTTGACTCGAGGGCCACAATGGGTTCTTAAACTGGACCGGAGGGCCGGAACCAAAGCATGGATGGAGTGTTTGTGTGAACTAATATAAATTCAAAGTAAACATCATTACATAAAAGGGTACGGTCTTTTTTTTTTTTTTTATTTTTTTTTTTTAAATATATTCTATTGATTTTTTTACAGAGAGGAAGGGAGAGAGATAGAGAGTTAGAAACATCGATGAGAGAGAGACATCGACCAGCTGCCTCCCGCACATCTCCCACTGGGTATGTGCCCGCAACCCAGGTACATGCCCTTGACCGGAGAGAGAGAGAGAGAGAGAGAGAAACATCGAGTGAAAGAGACACATGGATTAGTTGTCCCCCACATGAGCCCAGACCAGAGCTGGGGATTGAGCCTAAAAATGAGGTACATGCCCTTGACCAGAATCAAACCTTGCACCCTTCAGTCTGGGGCTGATGCTCTATCCCCTGAACCAAACCAACTAGGGCCTGAACTACGTCTATACAAGACAGAAATCAACAAAATTGTATATATATCCTAATGGAATGGTGCTTTATTTCTAGTTGACAGTTTTCCAGCAACAACATGATTATGGAAGGATATACATATTTTTATATTGGTAGATTACTTTGCAAAAAGATAGTAACAGTTTACATTTCTACCAGACTGTCTAAGGCTGCTCTTTCCTCCAGCAGATTATCATTGAAAAAATATTTTTATTACTTCTTTTTTGCCAATCTGGTGGGTGAAAAGTGGTGTTATATCTCTACGCTTTTCTGACAGTGTAATATGTTTATCAACCATTTGGATTTGCTCTTTATTGGTCAGGGTTCTCCAGAGAAACAATAGAGAGAGAGTATATTCACATGACTATGGGGGCCTGGAAAGTCCAAAATCTTCAGGGTGGGCTGGAGACCCAGAGAACTGGTGCTGTTGCAGCTGAAGTCCCAAAGCTGTGAGGCTAAACACCCAGCCCGCCTTGTACCAGAGCTACTAATGGTCAGACTGCCGGGATTTGAAGTCTATCTCACTACTAGGTTTTTCTGGGAACATTGAAGGAATTGCTTCTCACTTTATAACTTTCATCTGCTATTTGTTCTATTATAGGGATTTGTAATTATTTTTTGAGCAAATTGTAAGAATATTGGGATAAAATCACTGCCTATAAGATACAGGATAAAAGCAAAAATCGTAACATAATCATGTCTTGGGATCTTCTGTCCCTAAGTAACAATGTGTTTTCTACACATACCACCTAAGAATCTTTTATAGGCGATAAAATCCACAAGGGTGGATTTCAGATCATTCTTTTCCCATTTCACTGAAGAGAGGAATTCAGCCTATCAAAGACTTCTTCTATTTGTGCTGCAGAAAACATTTTAAATGGCGAGCAACAAGACCAATCATCAAAAGAATGGTCTTATCTGTAGCGAGTCTAAGAACTTTTAGATTCCTAGAAGCGTAAAGATTTGTAGTAGTGGTGAACCTCACATCTTGAAGTCAGCTAATATGCAGTGTAGGGGTAGCGTGGGGTCAGGGTTGGAAATCTTCCAGTGGTTCTTAACCTTCCTAACGCCTCAACCCTTTAATACAGTTCCTCATGTTGAGGTGACCCCAACCATAAAATTATTTTCGTTGCTACTTCATAACTGTAATTTTGCTACTGTTATGAATCATAATGTAAATATCTGATATGCAGGATGTATTTTCAGGGGCCGTGATCCCAGATGGAGAACCGCTGGGCCGAAGTGAATACTTCAGAAGTGCTTCGTAGTTACTGTCCTGTTGACGTAGAGATATATCAAGACCCTAGAAAATCACCATCAGAAACAAGGATTTTGAAAACTTACCTCCATAAAAAGTATCAATCTTGTTTTAACTTTAGTTTCTCACTTTATAACTTTGGATATAACTCTGAGGCCATGGGAAAAATACAGACGGAACCCGTCTCCAACTTACAATGCTAAACTACAATTCCCAGCATGCAGGCAAACTCCGTGGTTTCGGTGCACCCTGAAAAAGAAGTCCCTGACTCTCCATTGGCAGCATGAGAAGCGCCGTAGTTCACACAAATCCGCGGGTTCTAGCGAGGGCACGCACGGAGACTGCGCAGATCTCCTCGTCTGAGTTCTACGGCACTCATTGTGAGTACCGGGACTTTAGCCGGAAGGATTTAAGAACCGTTCCACTTCCGGTAACACCGGAAGCAGTTCCAAGATGGCGACCTCCATAGCAAACGGGCTAGTCCGGCGACTGGGAAGAGTGGATTTCGTAACCAGAAGCAGAAGCAGGAGAACCGAGGTAAGGTGGTGTGAGCACCGAAGCCCGGGTGTGGAGGTTCAGTTGCGATAGTGTGACGCCGCCTCGGGTCTGTTCTCTGAAGTTGAGTCCCTATAAGAGCTGCTTTTTAGGGGTATTGGCCGGGCCTGCGGAACCGTCTGGCGGATATGGTGTCGGTCAGGTGTTCCTAATAATCGCTTCTGCTAACGGCTCCCAGAAGCGCAGGTGTTGCGGACTTCGTCTTTGGTAACATGATGGCTAAGAAATTGCGGAGGGCACACCTTAGACCACGGCGATGGCTGGAAGTCGGCCAAATGAGGGATGCCGTGGAGTAGGAGAGCGTTTGTATTTGAGTTAAGGGCTGATGGTAAAGGACACAGACATGAGTGAGGACATTCAGATTCAGCAGGTCTGGGCTGGAGGCCAACAACTGCATTTCCAATACCTGCAGCTTATGCTCGTGCTGCAGGCCTATGAACCATACCTTTGAGTCGTACGGATATAAGTTATAGCTGTTGGATTTAAGAGGTTCCTAACATCCAGGCCTTTCAATAAATGATATGAAAGATAATTTATGGCCCGTCAGAAGCATTTTGTTTTAATGAAAGGAGGACCTTTATGTCCCCTTAGTCAAGTGGCTAATCTTTTTAGACTGAATGTCTTCTATAAAGTGGGAAAAATAATAGTGGTTCTTCCTACTGATGAAAGAGAATCATTGATCAGCTGCCTCCTGCACACCCCACACGGGGATCAAGCCTGCAGCCGGGTATGTGCCCTGACCCGAATCGAACTGTGACCTTCTGGTTCATGGGTTGATGCTCAACCACTGAGCCAAGCCAGCCAGGCCAGAGAATTAGCTTTTAAAAATTTTATGCACCTGCATAAACATGCAAACATAGTATATACACACATACTCAGGCTTCACTGCGGGTAAAGTTGAAAGGTTACTTACATTTAGAATAGCCCTGTAAACAAAATGGTATTTGAGTCTTCAGCTCTAACATGGTGTGGTGCAGTGGGAGTTACTTGAGTACCACTGTCTGTCAGGTGTATACTAATTAGTGTGGATCCAAGTTGGGTCCTCGCCCTTCAGGCACTTTGCTTTATGCAGCCACGGAAATGTGTACAAGTAGTTTTAATAGTGTGTTGGTAACGATGGAGGCCTGTTCTTTGACTGCTGAGAAATCATAAAAAGCATAGGAAAAGGAAATGCAAAGGGAGTTTTGGAAGATTGTAAATGTATGTGTATAAATGTCCAAAAGTAGGTTAAAATCTGATGTGTAATTTTTTCCTGTAGATGAGTCAGAACTCCTCGCTGTACCTGATGGTTGGGAGGATCCAGCTTTTTCCAGAGGACACCTGGGAAGCCGTTTTGCATCTCTGTTCCCAAATACAGAGATTGGCAAAAGTAGGCTCACGGTTTTCATATGGAAAAAGACATGCAGGTTATGATTATTACAATAGCTTTATTAACTCAAAAGACTGTCACAATGAACTGTAAACTTACCCCTGTATAGAGAGGCTTACTTGAAAGAGTGCTGGCCGTTGGTACAGAAAGCCTTGAATGAACATGTATGCATATTTTATGTATTTCTTTGAGATTTTGCTCTGCTGATACCTTTACTTTTAAGTAAGTATTGTATGCTGGTAGGTTTTTTTTTAATATATTTTTTATTGATTTCAGAGAGGAAGGGGGAGGGAAGGAGAGAAGGGAGAGAGAGAGAGAGAGAGAGAGAGAGAGAAAGAGAGAGAGAGAGAGATGAGAGAGATGAGAATCATTGATCAGTTGCCTCCTGCTTGCCCCGTACTGGGGATAGAGCCTGCAACCTGGGCATGTGTCCTGACTGGAATTGAACCATGATTTCTTGGTTCATAGGTTGATGCTCAACCGGCTGGGCTCGCGCTCTCTCTCTCTCTCTCGCTCTCTCTCTCTCTCTCTGGTAAACTCAGTGATCTAGCCTTATGTTGAATAGTTTATCACTCAGTATATTGAAATATTCTTCAGAATATGTGAACATATTCTTCAGAATATGTGATCCAAGTTGGGTCCTCGCCCTTCAGGCACTTTGCTTTATGCAGCCACGGAAATGTGTACAAGTAGTTTTAATAGTGTGTTGGTAACGATGGAGGCCTGTTCTTTGACTGCAGCATTTTTATTTGCTTTGTTGAAATCTGGTTCTTTGTACTGAGAGTTGATGCATAATTTTCCAATTATTGCTTCTTTTCCAACTTATGATAATTTGTTTTTACTTTGTATTTAGCTAACAGAA